ACTCGACGCCGGCTTTCCAATGGTGCCTCAGACGTCTCCCCGACGCCATTATTGGTAGAGTTACAGCCTCTTATAAAAGCCATGTTTTCTCGGGTACAGTGCTGACTTTGACACCAGATTCCTCGGGCGCCGGGGTTGTATTCAATACTGGCTTTTCACAGGTAGATTGAATGTCTATCTAGCAGTAATACCCATGGTATTATCATCTGGAATGAAGGGGGAATAGTGTACTAACTGCTACTCGCACTTGGGGGCTTGAGCTTTTCTTTCGGTCTACTTTATTATAGAACCAGTAGCAATGCAAATCATCTTTATTTTGACACTTTTCACAATATACATGATATGTGACTTAGGTCACAAGGTCTAGTCCTGGTATTGTATCCTAAAAATATAGAAGTGCTCCCTTGCATCCTGAGAATGGCTACTGAACCTAGTTGCATCCAGAGAATTTAAGGTGTGCTTGGTTGCGTTCAGAGAATTTCCAGAGTGCTCGGTTGCATCCCAACTTTGGCACCAAGGATCGTTGCGTCCTGAGTCGCGGTTTGCGTCCTGTGCGTCCTGTGCGTCTGACGCACAGGACGCACAGGACGCGAGCTTTTATTTTTGCTGATGTAGACCTTTGTCTATGCAATAGTGATAGTTAAGTCTCTTGACTTCTATCATATCATACCTATTCCTCTAAGCTTTCTTGAGTCCTCGCTTAGAACTTAAACTTTCATCGTAGAAGGAAAAATAGTTCTTGGGTCACTTCAGATAACTCTTAAAGAGCGTAGAGGTAGGTTTTATTGGTAAAATATAAAGGTAGGAAATAAACAAGAAGAATGTGTGAAGAGCTCATACTTGGGGTCCTAGTGACCCTTTATATATTCGTTCTTCACCTAGCATGACTCATGCCTCGCATCATGCGAACCCTGTAACTCATAACTATGAGTCATGCAAAATCCCTCAGCTGACTCCTAGGAGTCGCTGTGCAATATACCTTAAACAAATCAAAATATAATAATCAAGTCAAGTGCATAACTCATGTCACCTGAGTGAAACCCATAACTCATAATGTGAGTCATGTGTGAAAATCATAATATCATGTGACTCACAACTCTGAGTCATGAGCAAGTAAACATAATAACCTATGGTGCACTAGTATGCATCATGTGAAATCCCAACATACCTATAACTCGGAATTCTGAGTTATGTAAAATCTGCCTTACTTAGACACCATTTGTGACAAAATTATACTTTTCATAGACATTCTTTCCTTTGGCCTGTATTCAACCGCCCCACCAAGGACCTCAGTCATCCACAGGCGATATTCCATGGGAAAGGTTTCTGATCAGGTTCCTCCTCTTTTTTTTTCATCCCACTGATCCCTTCTTTCTCATTAGAGTTCTAGCTAGCTTTCCTTTATCTCATCTCCAGCTCTTTTACCAATTTCTATAGTTTCTTCAACATCTAGAGGCTGTTCCAAATATTCTGCGAGTATCTTTTCAATATTCTCCTCCGATCTCCCTTCCATGCGCTACATGTTTTTTCTCTAGATACAAAGGGGTTTAGAGTAACCCTGATTGAATTATAGAACATAGATCAATAGGTTTAAGTGATCCTACTGGGGGCATATTCCTGGACCAGAATGGCTCGCGATGTGTCCTCGGGAATCTTCTCCATTCTGCTAACCATCGGTTAAACTAGAAACCTAGCATATTAGTTATAGACTGCTCCTTTTGGGCCACAAAGGTATGGAAAAAACTCACACCTGAAGTACCTTATCCTCTGGCCTAATCGCACAACTTGTCCACTGCCAGCAGACTAAGATTGCAGCTTGTTAGCACAGACTCTCTTTCTCCCCTACCTGGATAACCCTTGTTACCTAACAAATTTCTTGCCAAATCCTAGATCTCCCTAGCGAAACTGGATATATTATTACCTCTACCTTTACCACCCCATTATGCCAGCTTCTGATTTTTCAGTTTACATCAACCATTTCCCCACAATTTCAATAGGGCACTCTTGGATTTTCCAATGCTATAACTTGGACTATTGGGGAACAGCTAGACCAGAAGTTGAGACCAATCATTGGTGTCAGTATAGATATTTCACATTCATAGAGTTACCAGTATTGCAGAAATTGGAACTATTATTAGCAGAATATGGCGACATCCTCTGGTCTTTGCTGTCCATACTATAGTAGAGGAGGAGGGGTTATTGAGTTGAGTTGGTTTGTCATATCCCTGGAAGCTGGAAAAGGATTAGAGTGTATGGGTATCAAAGCAACGTTATGGATACGGGTAAAGTCCACTATACTGCTACTCTCATCATGGATGTAGGAAAATGTGTAGCAAAGTCTTTGCTACCAACCAAGTTTACATGGAAATTTTAAGAGAAACATCTGCTAGATACCCTAGTCTATATAGATTACATTTAAAATATTTACAGAGGATAAGTGTCCTGTTGCTTGAATGATTATATTGATACCCAAGTGCAATGAATTTTCTCTTACCAGATTGAACTCCAGCCAGCGCTGAGACATGATCTCGCACCCCCCAGTGAATTTTATTGGTTCGAAAATAGGGGGTGTCCAGGCAACAAAACTGGGTAGACAATCATTGCCACGTACTTCTTACAAACAAGCGGGCTTACTTGACCACCAATCCCTCTTCGACCTCTGCAAAACTTTACCTCACTATCCCGACTACATCTCTTCTAAGGAGCATTAGCATTTGTTCTCAGCCGAGATTTCTCAACTACTTGATTACACCTATTCTCAAGTCACTCCAACGATTACATTTACGACAATTACCGATACCAACAATGTCTCTAAATCACTTTCTCCCACGCAATGTCAAATTTTATGACACTACCAGTCCTGGTAAGGCTCTTGGAGGGCTTGTCCAGAACGGGTCTATAACTGAGACAAACTTTCTTGACATTCTCGGAATCGTACTTGTCGTTGGGAGTCCGATACGTGTTCAAGAGCGGGAGTCGAGCCATATCATATCCAGAACGGAAGTGCTCCTTCAAGCAGGAGTATACAATATTTATTGTGAAGGTATGTTCTACATTCTCCCCATTTACTCGGTAGCCTAATTGGTAATTTTGCCAGGCTCTATCCAAGTCAGTGATGAGCCTTGGGTACACCGGTTGATTTCTCATGCAATCTCTGGCAGAGAGAATAGTTTCCCGATTGATATCCGTAATCGCGACAAGAAATGTGTTATTTCAGGAATTTCGAATCCCGAAATCGCTATCCAGTCCAATAACTGGACCACTTTCGAGGCTGCCCATATCTTCCCTCTCCAACATGAAAGCCATTGGATCCAAAATAATTATGGACGATGGATCACAGACATGGACGATACTGTTGGATCCTCCAAGATCAACTCGTGTCAAAACGGGTTTCTTCTCCGGCAAGATGTGCACACAATGTTCGATCGGTACTTCATCTCTATTAACCCAGATGACAGCTACAAGGTGGTTGTGTTTGACTCCGATATTTGTGGCTACAATGGTAGAACCCTTGATCCTGTGTGCCGAAATCCCGATGATCTACACCATGTGTCCGACCACCTCCTAAGATGGCATTTCCGCCAATGTATCCTTGCAAATGTCAGAGGAGCAGAGGAATAGATCCTCGAGCACGACTTTTCACCCAGGACCGATAGTGTGGGTGAGGTCCTTCCAGGTCCATATGCACAAGAGAGATTCAGGTTGGAGATAGCCGCTGGGTTGCGAGTGATTTTCTGAGGGCAACTACTTCAACCCAAGAAAGATTAGTCTAACTTAAGGGAATAAAAAGGATACTTTATAGTTTAGCTATCACTGTGGGGTGTGATGGTATGATCTTCATGGCAAGAGAAATAAACTCTCTATGTAAACCCCTTGCGAGCCCCTAGAACTGCCGAACCGGCAAACCCGAGGCAGGTGAAGGGATTCCTTTCTTGGTAGTTCTGCCTCACCAGCTGGAAGATATACATTCACCGTAAATAACTCGGCTGTCCTTCGATTACCAACCATATAAATTTGGTGAGCCACATTTACCAGACTTTCCCTTACTCGAGTACTTTTGAAATCCACTATCAGATCATCAGCAGAAATCAGCACAGCGGCCCACGATAGGTTTAATTTGACCGGCTAACAGAATTGTGAATATAAGTCAATCCACAGAAACAAGTCAAATGTGCCAATACTATGACATATCGGGAAAACGTCAACCCTTCTCAGGGGGTTTGGTTTCACAATCCGGAGATTTCATAGTAACCAGAATTTTGGTGTTAAGATGTGATAGGTGGTGAATTTTATTGGCTAGAAATTGGAAGACCGGGTAACAGTAGCAGCCGCTGGTGTTTATCATGGTACTACTCCACTTCTTTCAAACAACCAAGCTTGCCATTTCATACTCCAGCCTCCTCGGAGCTCCGCAAAACTTTATCTCGCCCACCATGCCTATTCTAAGCGGTATTTGGCAACATACACTGCCGAGATATCTCGACTTCTTTCCTGCGCCGGTTCTCAAGTCACTCCAACAGTTATATTTACAACAACCACCAATACCAAGGATGTCTCTAAATCGCTCTCTCCCACGCAATGTCACATTTTATGACGCTACCAATCCTGATGAGGTTCTTGGAGGGCTTGTCCAGAATGGGTCTATAACTGAGGCAAACTTTCTTGACATTCTCGGAATCTTACTTGTCATTGGGGTGAGTCCGATGCGTGTTCAAGAGAGGATGTCGAGCCACATTGTATCCAGAACGGAAGTGCCCCTTCAAGTGGGAGTATACGATATTTATTGTGAAGGTATGTGCTACATCCCCCGCATTTACTAGGTGTCCTAATTGCTGATTTTGCCAGGCTCTATCCAAGTCAGTGATGAACCTTGGGTGCACCGGTTGATTTCTCATAAAATCGCTAGCGGAGAGAATAGTTTCCGCGATAACATCGGTAATCGCGACCGGAAATGTGTTATTTCAGGAATTACAAACCCGGAAATTACTATCCAGTCCAATAACTGGACCATTTTCGAGGCTGCCCATATCTTCCCCCCTGAGCACTCAAGTCTTTGGATTCAGTATGACTATGGACGATGGATCGCAGGCAAGGGTGATGCTACTGAATTCTCACAGATCAACTCACCTCGAAACGGGTTTCTTCTCCGGCAAGAAGTACAGACAATGTTCAATCAGTACCTCATCTCTGTTAACCCTGATGATAGTTATAAGGTAGTTGTGTTCGACTTCGATATTTTTGGCTACGATGGTAAAACTCTTGATCCCATGTGCCGAAACCCAGCCAATCCCCACTCTGTGTCTGATGAGCTTCTAAGATGGTACTTCCGCCAATCAGTCCTCGCGAATGTCAGAGGAGCAGGGGAACCGATCTTCGAGAATGACTTCCCTCCAGGGACCGATATGATGCGTGGGATCCTAGCTGGTCCCTATGCACGAGAGAGATTTGAGTTAGAGATAGCCGCTAGGTTGGAGGGGGTTGCATAAGGGCAGTTGTCTTGGCCTCGGGGAGATTCTACGGCCGATGATTTAATGATACTGGCCGCGCTATCATTGCATTTTCGACAGCCCGGGCAGTATCGCAATGGAGGTTTTACAAGTGAAAAATAGTCACAAACGAGAATATCAACTAGACGTGCTAATAAAAAATGTCATTCAATGGGGGGTTTTCTGGCCAGATTTTCTCTCTTCACACCCATCTTTAGGCTAGCTATTGCCCTGTAGTTGGGATTGTTACTTTTAGGCGGGTAAGGGAAGTGTTTCTGCAAAGTGCTAGGGTTATAAAACGTTTCACTTGTATCAAAATGTGTGGCAAGCATTATAGCTGGAGGTTGCTTACCTGGGGTTGTTTTTGACCCTTTTTATGTGTTTTTTTTTTCCCTTCTCTTTTTAATGTAGATATTCTGTGTGATTTATGATACTGATTCTACTGTCTACGAGTGCAGCCGATAGATATATTAGTCACATGAAATTAGTGAGAAATTAGGACTTAGAGCGGCAGGGTAGCAACTAGCATGAAAAGCAGAATATCGTCATCGCCACAACATCCTCTGGACATAGGACTACCTAATAACATTCTTGAAAACCAAACTATATACCAACAATCAGGCCATTTTTTTCTCTTTCAAGTGGTCTTTTTTTTTTTCACACTCTCTCATCAATCCTGCTATGATGTTTTCCATCTGTGTTGTTGCAACTTGCTGCTTTGCTGGTTTCTTGTTATCTTATCACACGTGACTAATATATCTATCGGCCGCACTCATACCGTAGGTCTATACCCATGCCAACGTTATTATGTCAACTTCTACCTCGGCCCTTGTGTATAAGCCCTCTAATATGCACATATACCTTGACTGAAGTTCAACCCATCGCCTCGCTTGAGCCTGCATATAGCTCACAGTCATAGTTCGGTAAGGGAAGCTACAAGCCGGTCATTTGATATCCGGGAGCACTAGATGCGCAATTGGGGGCCTTACATTTTGAAAAGTGATAAGATTTCCAGCTCCCTCCCGGTTAGGAGGTATTATGGGGCAGCCCCATTCCCGTCCCTTCCTTCAAGGGCCTAGGTAAACTTACAAAATACAGACATAAAATGTGGACAGAAGGAGGGAGAAGACCGTCAACGGTAAAAAATAAAATAAAAACTAATGACTATTGCAAAGTAACAGGCAGTAGACTAGGTGGTTCGTTCAGCTGTCCCAGCCAGGTATTGAAAAAGGAAATGGGTATCGTGACCAGGGAACCAACACTAATTGTACAGGAAATGCACTGGAGTATATATAGGAGAGGTGAAGATGTATCCGAGAAAAGGAAAAGAGCCCAATAAAAGGCGATTTTTAAGTATTAAGTAAAAGTCATTTTGCAAAAGAGTGGCCTAGAAAGACAAGAAAGAACATGCCCCCAAATAAAGTATCCTCCAGGGCCTTTCTCCTCCTTTCTCCCCCTTCTTCTCGAGACCCGGCATGCTCAACAAACATATGGACCACAACCACCCCCTATGTTTTATTTTTCTCTCCTCAGGCGAATATCTCTACAACACTTAAAATAGAAGAGGGTAAACCCGGAAACTGACTCCAAACCCACATTCTAATATATTTGCTGTCTGCTCGTTTATTGCTCTTACCTGGAATAGGCTGTCCCGCTTGACTAAGGTTAGAGCAGGGAAGATTATTCCAAACAGATGGATAGTGCATGCCAACAGATGCTCCCATTCTCCAATCTCTAATCCAATATCCTCGCAAGGAATCGCTTCGTCACTATTGGTCCAAATACTTCCAAAAAAGGATAACCCGCCACCGCACCGGTCACAGGCCAGTACTAGCTCCAAACCTAAATATTCTACGAGCCCGTTCCCAGGGTTGCCCCGAGGCTAGCCTCCGCATCCACCAAGTCCTACAAAACCCAGATGCAAGAATTAGGTAAATTCGACAACATCCCAAATTATTGGGCCGCTCTAGGAAGTTCCTAAAAAAAACTCTTTTCCCAAGATCGCCTTAAAAGCACCATGATCCTCTGCGGGCTCCCTGGGGCCAGCCCCCTTCCCCCTATAATGTACACAATTTGCTAGAATTTATATCTTCACCTTGGGCATGGCATTATACTCCCCATAAATCTAATAGAATTTTTTGTTCACGGTGATCCGGCCAGAGGTCGAGGAACATCTGTGTTCGCAAAGCACTCACACCCTTCCAAAGCACTGCACCCCCAGGCGTTGAAAACGTTTCACTAATCCCCCCTTTCTCATTATTCAGTTAAGCAAATTGCGATAAAAGTTTACAAAATTCTCAGAGCCATAGCTGAAGGCAGTCATCTAATAGGGTCTTGCCATCCTCTCGTTGCTAATGGGTGTAACTCCCAAGGTACCGCACGCCCAAGGCTGTGGGGGCTTGCGAACGCAGCTGTATCACGCTATACAAGGCTGATCTCTCGAGCTCCGTTGCGGGTGCTAGATGCAGATTTAGATCTCATAGACGATAATGACCTAAATCTCCCCGCTAACCAAAGCACCGGCACCACCAGCATGCACTAATTTTTCACAGTGCTTTCGGCACTAATCCTTGGTCATTGGCTTCGAGAGCTGTAAACCGGATACGATACTATGATATCGGCAGCCTACCAAATAGTTAGGTTGACAAAGTGCCAAGCCAAGCTACTCGAGTGACAATGGATGAGTACAAACAGCCGCCTACACCCCTTCCCGCCAAGGGTTCCGTCTCTCAATACCTGGTAGTACCCTCACAACAGATCCCCCTGTTTAAATCTACTGATCCCCCGCCGGGAGGCAAAGTGACCCACCAGCACCCCACCCACCGAATAAGACGGAGAGACCGCGAGTACTCGAGCACAGTGCTCTACGCCAGTGTTGTGAGTGATGGGCTGGTCACCCCCAAAATCCAACTTGACCCGTCACCCATGTTGAAAGATGATGGGGGTCGGGACTGATCATGGTGACGGGGTCCTGAAGGGAAAAGAAGGGTTAGGGTTAAAATTCCTAATCTCCATCATAAATATCGTATCATAGCAGGAGCTCTCAGTAGGGTGCCAAGCCCTTGGTGACCCCCATCACCCCCCATCACTCCTTATTCCTGGCCACCCGTCACTGACCATGGTCAGGTTCATGACTAGGCACTTGGCACTGACGGGTCCTCACAACACTGCTCTACGCTACAGTACTCGAGTACAATACTTCCCATCCCTGCCAAGCCGGGCACCAACCACCTTGTTTGAACACTGGCAGTCGGCGGTTAGGCTCGACCCGGTGAAACATTCGAATCTAAGCCCTGAAAGTGAAAAACCATGTTTCCTCCCAGATCTAGGATACGTGATCTCCGCAACCGGATGCATTTTTGATCTGGCCATTCCATTCCAACGCAGGTACTGGGCTCTGCACCACTCACGCGTTGAATCTGGAATGAAGGGAATAATCGATTGGGTATTTCCGATTAAGCGAATGGCGCCATGGGGTTGACGTGGTAACGAGAGTTATGGTAACCTCTTTTTAACTGGCCATACCCGGGTACAGCGGATGAAGAATGCAAAAGACGGGTGGTTGGTTGGTTGGGCAACCGATCAGTCTATTGATTGTGCTTCTCACTGGAACGGAAGCTGCAACGCCTGCCACGCAATTTCGTAGGGCCGGAAAAGGTCGAGGTAAATACTGTGCAGCCTGTGCTCCCCTCCTCTCCAGCCCTCTCTCTCTCCAGCCCTCGTTTTTTTCTCTCTCTCCCGCTCATCACCCATCCACCCACCACCCACCCCTTTCCTCTGCCTTACCCCCCCATTCTCTCTCTTTCACAGTTTCTCCAACATTCATTCTGAAGACGGTCCTTGCTAGTTGCGTTTCTCGAGTCCGTCCATAGCGGAAAACAATCGTTCCATTCCAGTCATTCCTGCAACCCTCTGCGGTCGCAGACCTATTCTACCACCATTAAGCCCAATCGGTTCTCACCCGTTGCAATGTCGGACGCCTACTATGAACGTGAGGCGGTCAAGGTCAGACGCTACAGATGGCCCGAACTCCTGCTCGCAGTCCTTCTATTGGTGCTGTTTATGTCCGGGGCAATTGTTTTGGGAGCCTTCGCCTACTTCACGGCAATACAGCAAAGGCTCTTCATTGCGGTCCCATGGTGGGTTTGGCTCCATTCTTCACCCGTCCGTCTCCTACGGAACGCAGTTACTAATAGCAGAGCGTGTAGGTACTACTACTTCCTCCTGGCCATCTCGACCCTCACCATAATTTTCGTTTTCGCCGTTGTCGCCTTGTATTACGTTCACCTCCTGCTTCCGATAATCGTCATGGTCTCCTCGTTCGTCATGTTCGTGCTCTGGTTGACGGGACTGATCAAGGCCAGCATCGAACTATGGGGTCCTCTCGGCAGTATCAATGATAACTGCGTGCGATACGTTTACAATGACGATTTCTGGGGTGGACGCAATTTGGACACCCTCGCTAGGATACAGCAGGAGGGTGTTTGCAATTTGTGGAAGACCACTTTTGCGTTGGAAATGGTTTCGACGTAAGCTCCCTTTCCCTACTCCTAACACGATTTCGAGCCCGAGACTAATTGATTTGACAGATTCCTGTTCCTGTGGTTGATCCTCATGAGCTGGCAGGTCATAAGCCGTGCCCGAAGAGATTACTAGTCAAGAAATTGTGTGGCCGGTCGGATCGTATCCTTCATTTTCTTGCTTGCATTGGGGAAGGGTGTTCCATGTAAATTGGATTTCCTTATCTGCTTCTTCTGTCCATTTTCTGAAAATGATTTTTTTTTTCTATTTATTGTCACGAAACTTTATACCCCAGGAGTGGCATGGCTCTTAATGATGTTTGGTATTTGATGTGCTCTGGCGTTTTTTCCCTTTTTTTTTTTGGACCCTAATGAGTTTGGAGGTGATGAGATGTGGTCAGCGATGATGTAGGGGGGCACTGGGTCTATTCTGGGTGAAATTGGGAGAGATGGGGGGGAGGGCTTCTGGGCTTGCAAGGAGTTGACGTACGGTAGTGGTATGGACTGTATTTTTTTTATTTTTAGCTTATTAGTATCATATATAGAATGAGAGGGAGTTTGGTTTATCATCAATTGAGCCTGTGCTGGAGAGAATATGGGGCAAACTCGCTTCCTCCTGGAGGCATCTCTCTATGGTGGATCCGCGAGGATTTCATCAACGAGAACAGTCACTTGTGGAATGACCATGATAAATTTAACGCTGGGGGCACTTCCTGCTATGATGGGATAATCTGCCCCGTTCAGGTTAGGCAGAAACCCTTGAGAGGTTCACGAAACGAAGAGCCTCGACGAAGAGCCTCCTCGCCCCCTGACCCATCACTTCACTTCTCTCCGCCAATTCTCATAGACAGAATAAAAGAAACTTCCATTGCGAGAATCATGAACCCAATTTCTTCCGGAGGTGTCCACTACCGAACCCCTCCTTCGGACCTCTCCCACTGAGCGGCAGGTTTTGATGGGGTGTTTTTTGGTGGTGCGGCTGATGTTCGGTGAGCCGCCGCACCCACTGCCGTCTCAGGGCTTACCGGTAGTTGAAGAAAGGGTTCCGTCCCGAGCTGCGCCGGATACGGCAGGCAGAACACCGATAATCTCAATACCGAAGAATTATCAATGAAAAGGATATCATAGACTAGATTCCAGCCAATTCTAGCGAAGCGGGCAGAAGTTGGCAAGGCCTTGTCCGCTTCTCTTCTTCCAGGCTCCCCTATCCCTCTCGTCCCCGGCTAGACGGCACACACAATCATTTTTCCGGCGTCGCGATCACCCACGGCCCGCAGCGCGATTCCACGCGTCCCCACGAACACCAGAACCACTCAAATTACTTGCATGACCCCACCAGCTTAGCTTAGCCATGATGATTAATGCCTGACTTAATACTGTACAGTATTTGAATGCCACAACTTCATCTCCCCGCCTTTCCCCGAAGGGGTCTATCGTTACCGTGCAAGATTCAGGCCCGCGGAACAGAGACGAGCCCGAGATTTCTAGGGGCGGTCTACCGAGGTGGACTGTTACCATGTGAGCATGTATCATACTACAGTAACCCCTTCCGTTGGCGCATCTGCTGGAGGTGGTAATGATTTCCGCGACTGTTAAAAGCCAATTGTGGGGCACTAAGGGGCTAGGTGCTGAGCTGAGATTTTGGTGATGGGGTGGGGATACGGCGGGAAGATAGACTTGCGAGGAGGGAGAGGAGGAGGAGGAGGCTTAGCGATGCGATAGTCTAGTGGATTTGGGATGGGCTTGGAATGGGTGTGGGCACTGACGGATGGACTGGACATACAGTGATTTGACTTAATACTTAAACCGACGCACCCCTTCCTCTCAAGACACTTCTGATACCGCACACACTCTCAACACCGGAAGAGCCGCCCACCACACCTTCCGCAACGACCAGGCAGTCAATATGGACATCTTCCTCAGGCCGCTCAAACTCCACTCTCGGGACAAAGAGATACTCTCAGATGTAGTCGTGCCGATATCTTCCGCTCCGCACTACGTCCCTGCGAAGCGCCCGGCCCGAGCCTCCTCCGCCCTTGAGTCGCCCCTCATCGCCGAGCCTGCGGAATATGACATTGAAACCATCCGTGCCGCGGTCGCCCCTCCCGCCGGAACCACACATATGGACAGCACACCCTACACTCGCAAATCCCGTGTCATAAACCATGCGATCCAGGACATTGGAATGGGGCCGTATACATGGCGTCTCTTTGCGCTCTGCGGATTCGGCTGGTTCGCGGATAATATGTGGCTGCAGGGACTGGCGCTGATACTGACCAGCATACAGCGAGAATTCGGCATCGAGGATAGTAGGATTGGGTATACCACCTGCGCACTCTTCGCAGGGTTGTGCTGCGGTGCGGTGGGGTGGGGTGTCTTTAGTGATTTTTGGGGCAGGAGGGTTGCTGTCCGTTCTCCCCATCCTCCCCTTTCATCTCCACCTCGTACCTACCTAAGGGCCCCAAGGACCCGAATATGGTAGAAGATAAATGTGCTAGGGCGTTGGAATCCCTTTCCACCCGGCTACGCGAGGGGGAGCACCTCAAACTCGGCCCTCGGTAGGGACAAAACAACGGGAATATGCAGATTGCCTTACTAGGAGAGGAAGAGGCAACTACGGCGTCCCAGCACATTTATCTCTCCCTTCGAGTCTCCACGGCGCTGTGCTACACCGGATGCTAAGATCGCGATCCCATAGTTCAATGCCACCCTGGCCATAGCCGCAATCTTCGGACTTGCAGTCGGTAGTGCGAATTCTTGGTTTGCCACCGCCACGCTTTTCGCTTGTATCGGAACCGGAGTCGGCGGGAACCTGCCCGTTGACGGAGCGCTCTTTCTAGAGTTTTTACCGGAAAGGAATGGCAATCTGTTGGCGGGGCTGTCGGTTTGGTGGCCCGTCGGGCAACTTGTTGGCTCTCTGGTGGCATGGGGGTTTCTGTCAAAGTATAGTTGCACAGCCGAGGCTACGGATGCGGGGCGTTGCAGGAAGGAGGATAACATGGGGTGGAGGTATCTGATGTTTACCTTGGGGGGCTTGACGGCGGTTATGGTTCGTCATCTCCTTGAGGTGTATCCAGAGTGGACAAAATATTGTGTTGACGGTAAAGTGGGGAACTGGATAGTTCATAACAAGGTTCTTCACCTTCCACCTCTACGAATCGCCAAAGTTTTACATCTCCCGCGGGAGGGACAAAGAAGCGGTAGCGGTGGTGCACGGGGTTGCCTATAGGAACAGGACAAAGACTTGGCTAACGTTGGAACTCCTCCAAGAGTTATCCCGAGCTGACGATGATGACGAGGAAATCGAGAATCACCCCTCCCTCATTTCCTCCCGCTCCGCGATGGGGGAGGCCTCAAGGTTATCAGCAATGCAAATCGTAAGGCTGAAAACGGAAAGATTTACCCCCAAGCAGATCCGCCCGCTCTTCGCAGACAGGACGCTAGGGTTGACTACGGGGCTTGTGTGGTTCTGCTGGGCGACCATAGGAATGGGGTATCCGCTGTTTAACGCCTTCTTGCCGATTTACTTGACGAAGAACGGGGCTGGAGGGGTAAAGCCAAATAGCATAGTGTATGTCACGAATTGTCACTCTTTACACCAGACTCGAGTGTGATTTTGGGGGGTATTACAACTGACGATATCAGGTACCGCAACTACGCAATAACAAGCATGGTCGGAGTCCCTGGCTCTCTCATCGCAATGGTATCCTCCCCTTCTCCCCCCTCCCCCTCCTCTTCTATCTAACACCGGGGGGGGGAAAGTACACAATCGACAGCCCCTACCTCGGGCGAAAGCACACTCTAAGCATCTCCACCTTCCTCTCCGGTATCTTCCTCTTCCTCTTCACCATATCCACGAAGGACACATACCAGTTAACCTTTGCCTGCCTGGAAGCCTTTTTCCAGAACATCATGTACGGCTCCCTCTACACCTTCACCCCTGAGCTCTTCCCCGCACCCGTGCGTGGTACGGGTGTTGGGCTGGCCAGCTTCATCAATAGGATTGCAGGACTCTGCGCTCCCATCATCGCTGCAAATACTATGGGCATCAATCCGAATGTGCCGGTTTATATTGCGGGCGGGTTGATATTGGCTGCCGGGGTGGCGGTCCTGGGGGTGCCGGTTGAGACGAGAGGAAGGGAGAAGCTATGATTTTCTGGAAGGGAGAATGTGTGGGGGGCCCCGAATGCTCGGCGAATTAATTCTCGCAGTTTGAATTTCTTTGTATATCTGTTTCCTGGGGACATAATCATACCATAGAGGACTTAAACATTCCAGTTAAGTATATTCTGGGGTTTACTGTAAATTCTAAGATGAAAAAAACAGTTTGCTTTTGGTGGCCGGGAGTCACTACGCCGTGGCCGTCCCTAATGTACAATACATATCTACATACTTTACGAGGCGGTCAGCAGAGATCAATAGTGAGCCAGGCATCCCAAAAAGTTACCACAGCGTGTAAAGTATTTTTCCACCGGGTGGGGGGGAAGGTTGGGTTATCAAATCAGGTTAAGTATGTCAGCGAGTGATGACAAGTGACAGCACACAATATATCAATCATATCAATCGTTCGAATATAATAACCACGGGAACAAGACGCGCACAGTAAATATGGGCTAGGACAGGAGGAAATTTTCCATATCTCCCCGTCAACGACAAAGCGCACATCCCGACAGTGCCGGAAATACCTACCGGTAGTGCTACTTCAGCTACCACGGCTCGAAACGTTAGCACGCCAATCAGTTAAGTGTGCTACCAAAGGCACTCTCTACTTCTGTCCGTTCCATGGCGGCGAACCCTCAGACTACCGTAGGAGATATGTACGCAAAATCCGACACTATCAAAAATGTGTGGTGAAAAGTTTTTTTTTTTTTTTTTTTTCCTGCTATGATGGTCGTAGTCGGATTGGAAAGGTGGTAGGTACAGTATCCCCCGGTCCGGGGATTACTGTACTGTAGACCTTATGGCATTTTTATTTTTATTTTTTTAAGTCCTGAGTTGTACCTGTAGCTGGCTCCTCATTGTTTTTTTTTTTTTTTCTTCGATTGTTGGCTTTTATGCTATCGTGCTCGGTACCGATGTTGTCCATTCGTTCGGAGGGAACTCGTAGTGTTTTTTTTAAAAGCCATCCTCTGCGTATCTTTTGGAGTTGTCGGTCATATCGTATCCATTTTGTGAAGAGGGAATACCAGCTCTCGGTGTGTGTGTGTGGGGGGGGTTGCTTGCTTCTAATCAGTGGGATGGAGATGTTGTGGCACTCGACGTTTCACTGATTTCTCAAACTTAAGATAAGTCATTTCCTTTGAGGTTTAATGCTGTCAGAAACCCTAACCCCGTCATAAGATCTGTTTGCCATCATATCATACAACACTGGTACAGTGTTTGTTTGTTTGTTTTTCCCCTGGGGGTTTACGTTACGAACCCCCTTGCTTCTTCATCCGGCAAGGGGATTATTCGAGAGGCAGGATAAATGGAGGCCATAGTGGAGAATTGATATCGCGTACGGGACCATGTCGGTCGTGTGCTGACCTTTTGCTGTGGCAGTTGGGTGGGTACCCTCCAAACTATGGTGGGGTCTTTTTTTTATTTTATTTCCATAGCTTGGATACCCATAGACGGTGGGCAAATCCGGTTCCCCACAACGCCCCTCCCCCACCTTGCGAGTGTCCTCGTTTGCACTATTGCGAGGGAGGATTTTGTGCCCCTCGGTCATGTGGAGACTTGGCAGGAAGCTTTGGTGCTTCATTATAAGTGGGTGAGGTGAAGGTAGGAAGGGGTTCATTCGATTGGGCAGCCTGATGAGGCCAAAATGGTCATTGAATCATGTTTTTCCTTCGCTCTGTGTTTTTAGTTAGGCAAGGGCCAGAGCTAGATCACTATTGATAGGGAGCAGAGGACTGGTCGCAGGAGTTTGTAGGGCTCTAGATAGAGGTACAAGAAACTTCTCGGCGATGTGTCGTCCCGCAGAAGGGTCTAGACTTGATCGCTTGCGGAAACACTGTTGCTAGAATCTATAAACATGATGAAAGTCCACCAAGAAAAAATCGAAAAAGAAAGAAAAACCACAGAACCCTCATAGGACTCAAGGCAAAACATGGCTATTAGTAGGGAACATAAAATAGCCTTTATGATGTCACGGCAAGTATCAGAAGGTCTTAACGAAAAAATGCAAAAAAAAAAGGTATGATAGCGGATACAAAGGTATGATAAGCGCAGGAGCATCTAGATAACCCTGTATAAAAACCCCCCCACGTTCATCTCCCCCGGGTCCCCGCGCACAAAGGTACTAGTATCATATTCTATCCCGGCATGGGCCATCACTCGGTGCCGGTCCTGCCGGCGAAACTGGGCTGAGAAGGTTGGAGGGTGGGGAGTGTTGGTTAGTGTATCACAAGTTCCCTATCCCTGGTTGCGATATCATAGCGGATAAGCCTTGTATGATACATAGCACGGTGCGAGGTCGGGGTTGGAATTGTGGTTTTGTTCGGGGATGTTTTTTATGAGGGTTTCGCACTTATGCTTCTGTTGGTTCGAAACCTGGGCTTTTCTCATGATAAACCGCGGTCGGGGGGGGGGGGGGGGGGGCTTTGGGGAGCGGGATGTTTGTGGGTAATGTATCACAATTCTGAAGCTTTAGTGTTTAATCTCTTTCAATATTATTCTAGTGCCTATGCTTGATATTACAGCAAGGCGAGCATTCATATCCACCCAGGGACGCCTTTGTGCCGGTTGAAGGAAATGAAACCGAAACAGCATAAAGAAACCCGAATTCCATTTACATACAATACCCCCTCTCGTGGAGAAAAACAGAATTCTAAAGCATGGGCTTCAGGCCATCGGAGACAGAAAACGGTGCACCAGTCTTGGCCCTAATCTCATCAACCTCCACCCCCTCCGCAATCTCAACGAGCGTAAGCCCCTTCTCAAAGTCCACGTCGAACACGCCCAACTCGGTAATGACCCTGGAAACACAGGTACGGCCGGTGAGTGGGAATGCGCATTCTACGATACCCCCATCATTAGCACTTGCACCTCCAACAACGAGGTCCGAAGGGGGGGGGAGAGGGGTGGAACAGACTCTCAAGAATCTTCGCATTCCCCTTCCTGTCACAATGCTCCATCGTAACAACCACCTTTGTCTTTCCCGGATTGCTCACAAGATCCATAGCGCCTCCCATGCCCTTAATCTTCCCGGGCAAAGCCCACGACGCGATATCGCCGTACATACCCACCTGCATAGCGCCCAGTATCGTAAGGTCGATTTTCCCAGCACGGATCATGCCAAAGCTCTCGTCGGAGCCGAAAATGCTCGCACCGGGAGCGAGCGTGACGGTCTCCTTGCCGGCATTGATGAGGTCCGGATCCTCGCCGCCGCGGCGAGGGTATGGCCCGAGTCCTAATATTCCATTTTCGGACTGGAGTTGCACGGTTATGCTTGGGTCTACGAATGTCGGCGCGAGCATTGGCATGCCGATGCCCAGGTTTGCGTACATTCCGTTTTTAAACTCTTTCGCCGCGCGCCGGATTATGCGTTCGCGCCTCGAGGCGGTTTCCCCGGTACCCAAGGTCGCGGATTGCTCTTCAGCGTCCTTAGTGAACGTGAACTTTTCGATACTTTTGGGGGTTGTGGATTGAATCACGCGGTCAACGTATATCCCCGGTAGGTGCACAGCTGCCGGATCGATGTCGCCCACCGGCACAATGTTCTCCGCTTCGACGACGGTGAGTGTGGCGTTCCGTCCCATGGCGCCGTTGAAGTTGGCAGCAGAGAAACGAAACTGACAGTTTCCCAGAGAATCTGCTTTCCAGGCTTTGACGAAGGCAATGTCACCTCGGATAGCTTCTTCCATTACGTAGCTCTTGCCGTCAAACACTCGGACCTCGCGCGGTTGGCTGTAGGCTGCGACGGTGCCATCGGAGTTGTACCGGACCGGTAATTCGCCGGTTTGCACTACGGTGCCGAACGCTGCCGGTGTGTAGAATGCGGGTATACCCGCCCCGCCGGCACGACAGCGCTCGGCAAGTGTGCCCTGCGGGGTGAGCTCTAGTTCGATTTCCCCGGTGAGGTACTTTCGCTCAAAAGTCTTATTCTCTCCCACGTACGAGGCGATCATTTTCGAGATCTGGCCGGAAGCAAGCAGGACTCCCAGGCCGGAGCCGTCGACGCCAGCATTGTTGGATACCGCAGTCAGGTTTCTGATGGATGGTTTGGAGTGCAGCGCGTTTATCAGGGTGTCCGGGACACCGCAGAGACCGAAGCCGCCGGCTAGGAGAGTGGTGTCGGATTTCAGGTCTTTGATGGCTTCCACCGCTGAGGGGTATACTGGCATTTGGTCAGCTGAAACTCGAAGAGGAAGGAGGAGATGGGGAGGCACTTTTATTAATTTCAAACCTCCCCGAGGTAGACGTGAAGGCCCTCGCCAGTAAGAACGAATGCTGAAGCCCAATATCAGTTCCATTCCGTGATGTCATTAAAACTCTCGAGATACTGTACATACCCTCTTCCCACCCCGAATGAACCCATTCGCAGTTCGCAAAAACAGTGCCATGTCTAGATATCATGAAGGTATCCCCAGCCAGCAATGGAGAGTAATGGAATAAATATCCCCTTGAAGACGAAGGGAGGGGAGAGGGGCATGATTGAAGTAAACACCGAAATTCTCCAAGTGATCGGTAAGAGTCGGTTAGACTCGCGGCAATCCAGTCTGGGGAAGAGAGGGTTTGTTGGTCCCTGAGTTTGGAGGCTCAGAGTGGAATAGTGGGGATCTGTTGCCAAGCTCGGCTAGACTATACCAAACTCGGCAACCCGACCACTTACTCCACATACCGTCACCCGTGACTCCTTCATTGATCGCGTGGGATTGAATTGCCCAAAGCTCTACATAAAACATGCAGCAACAGCGGTCGGCGTCGTCTTGTTCTACAGTAGTACGCCCAGTATCGACCAAAGTGTCTCTACGAATACGCCCTCTGTCACACGGGTGGGAAGTGTGTTTCTTAGTTGACGACCACCGGTCAATCCGAGCCCTGTACCGTACA